TGAGCGCTGGGTTGTGAAGCTGCCGGCGACCTCTGCGGCGCCGGTTCGATCCCCGGCTGCTCCCCGGCCACCTGAGGAGGGTCCCACATGGCGCGCAGACCTCTCCTGCCACCCGCTGCTCCCCTCAGCAGTGTACTTCGGTCCTTCTGCCTGCTCTGCTCCCCGCTCTGGCTCTGGTGAATTCTCTCACCCTCCCGCGCTTCTGACTGTACCCAGTGCATGTATAAACAAAACAAACAAACAAATAAATAAATAAAAAAAAAACATGCCTCTATTAAAAAAAAAAAAAAAAATCCTGTCCTTAGGAAAAAATATACTAAAATATTTGTGGCAAAAGGCATGATATCTGTAAATTATTTTCAAATAATATTTATTATATATACACAGAAACCCTATGACAAGCAAATGAGGCAAAATATTAACAATTAGGATATCTGGAAAAATATACTACCTTCTCTACTTTCCTTGCAACTTTCTGGAAGTGTGAAATGATTTTTAAAAAAGCATTACATGCCACTAAGACAATAAAGTAGGACCATTAAAAGTGATGGCAAAGGTATTTATTGGCAAAGAAAGATGTTAATATTGTTCGGTGAAAAACAGTATAAGATCCACCTCCTCCCCATCTTATTGATCAGATAGATAGGTAGGTAGGTAGGTAGGTAGATAGATAGATAGATAGATAGATAGATAGATAGATAGATAGATAGATAGATAGAAATGAATCCATGAAAGATATTTACCATAATAATAACATCCCTTTGTGGTGGGAAAATGGGTGACATGATTTGTTTGTTTCTCTCTATTTTCTAACTTTCCCACCATGGAAGTGAATTGAAAGAAAGGTTTTATTCTCAGTGAATTGAGGTGGTTTCCTAAGAAGAAATATAGCAGACTATTCTGAGCCAGTCTAAGTCCTGTTTTGTTCAATGACAGAAAAAAGCAATTTATGATCTTCAGAATTGCTTTCTTTCTCAGTATTCTACATATAACTTATGTTTTTCTCCTAGAAAATTATGCCTTACTGCTGATCATTTCACCCTTTTTCATTTCTCTCTCTCACCCTTACAAAAAAGACCTCCAAACAGGCTCAATGTTGTCTTTACAACTCTGGTTTTTTGTTTGTGCCAAGCAGCACTGCTAACAGCTCCCCAACTGATTTTCATCAAAAATTCCGCTCTCCCCAAGCCCAGAGTGCCAATGGCTACCTAAACTATACGTGAATTTTCTTTATCTTCCTGGAGCATCAATTGTTCTCAGATATGGGAAGAAGATGTTATTTTTAGAGTAAAAGAAGCCATTATATTATTTTGCCAAATCCCCATAAATCTAAAAAATAAAATGGAAACTTCAAATAATTTAAAGCTTGCAAAGCTTAAGTCAAACCTTTCCACTCTAACTCTTAGAATTCAGGAACACGTTCCTTTCTTACTTACCTTTAAGGATTTTTTTTTTTAAAGATTTATTTATTTATTTATACAAGCACTGGGTACAATCAGAAGCGCAGGAGGGTGAGAGAATTCACCAGAGCCAGAGTGGAGAGCAGAGCAGGCAGAAGGACCAAAGTACACTGCTGAGGGGAGCAGCGGGCGGCAGGAGAGGTCTGCGTGCCATGTGGGACCCTCCTCCAGTGGCCGGGGAGCAGCCTGAGATCGAACCAGTGCTGCAGAGGCCAAGGGCAGCTTTGCAACCCAGCGCTCAACCGCTGCGCCATCGGGGAGGCCCTCCTTTAAGGATTTTCTAATGGAAAAGTTTGGGAAGCACGGATGTAAGACAGTCACCCACATTATTGTTCCTCTAGTAGCCTTTCATTCTTTCACATCTTACTAAATGAGCCCTCAGCCTCAGGAGTGCTACTCAGAAAGATATCCCTCGCAACACCATCATCGGCTCAGAACTGTAGGTACAATACTGTACAATTTGCAAGTATTGCTGTTCTTTTAAACACTGGCATCTGAAACATTCATGACTCAAAACACACAAGTTAAAAAGGAGGAAAATGATTACAGACACAATTTAAGGCCAATCAATTGCTTAGCAATAGGACCTCAGTATAAAGTGAGCCCTGGAGGTGGCTCAATTAAACTCTCCAGTCACTACTAGAGACCTGCATTTTCAGGATCAATTCAAAATGTCTAAAGCCTTACATTGTATACACTAAGAAGAATGGAGCACAATAGAATAAGATACACAAAAGAAAAAATCTTGGCCAAAATGGTTTAAAATTAGGTTATTTTAGACTTAGGCTATTATCATTTATAGTGGAAAAAAGGTCCAGTGTCCTGAGTTAGTTTTAGTAACTCCTTTAGACTATACAAATTGCCTGGAATGAACAAGTTTCAACCATAAAAAGTAATGAAAACTAATTTGAGGTTGACTCGAGAGGACGGACAGTTTTGAAAGAAAGGAGTAGTAACTAGGAAAACCAATCTTCTGACTTAATGTTAACTTGTTCCATTATTATGCAAATATTTTATTATGTTCTTAACCTTTAAGGTAGTCTTTCAACAGAATAAGGTCCTGTTTTCTCAATAGCTGGAACACTGGCATCTGTTCCTAAGTGACAGAATTATTGTAATGAAGCAAACATTTATTAACAATACAACAGTATTTTTTAATTATCACTTCAGTGTGTCATTGTCAGATATGAACCATTCTCTCTTTCTATTCCAGTGCCATTAGTTTTATGCCTTTTTTTCTATAGGCTCTCTACTTTATCTGATTTAGTTAAAATCAACCCAAGGGACCAAATCACCTCATTTGAAAGCAGCAGGAAGGCAATGATCATATAAAATTCTGCTTAAAATCAAGCACTCAGGAAAGGTGTATTGAATTAATTTGCTGACCTGATAGATATAATTTCTTGAGAGAGCACATTATAGACATTTCTTTATAAGAAAGCAACCTTATCTAACTACATAGGAAGTGTATTAAATGGATCTCCTTAACCAAATAGCAATAAAACTACAAGTAAATGAATTCTGCTGCTGGGTTTTCAGAGCCAACATGAAATAAAATTTTGGAGCAGTCCTGAGATGAATCAGGAAAAAGAAATATTTAATACACGCATTGTATAGCAGAAGCACAGAATAAAGTGTCTGAAGACTATACTAGAGACAATTAATATGCACCTACGATAGGTATGTGGTGACTATTCATTTCACTCAACAAACATCTTTGAAGTGTTCCTATCACTGGGAATATAGTAGTGAACAAAGCAGGCAAAAATTTCTACTTTTCTGGAACTTTATAGTTGCAGTGTAGAAAAGTTAGATAATGGATAAGTAAAATATGTAGTATATTAGTGGTAAATACTTAGGAGAAAAATAAAATAGGAAAGGGTATGAAATGTTGAGAGTGAGTAGAAAACGCAGATGGAGTGACTGGAGGAAGAACTCCCTGGAAAGGTATCTTTAAAGAAGAGTATCTTTAAAGGTATCTTTAAAGAAAGTGTAAGTTGTGCCTCTGTCAAAGGGAAAAGCATTCTAAACAGTGGTGACTGCATGTGTAAAGGCACCGAGGCAGGAGTCTGAATGCACGGCTAAGTGGCCAATGTGGCTGGCCGGAGTGGTGGACAGGTTTCACAGCTGGCTGCTCATTGGAAAGGGACAACTGAGGAGCAAGGACTGAAGGAAGGAACTATTTGTTTAAAAATACAGATTCTGAATTTTCACTTTTAACAAGTTCCCTAGGTGATTCTTATGCACAGTAAAATTTAAAAACAGCTACTTTGAATTATCTAAGCAATTGAAACAATTTGATTTTACAATCTGATTATCTGATAATCACTAATCTACTGCTTCCATTGCCTGTGGAGAAACTGGGTCTAAGCCCTTGGACTAAATTCAACTAACAGTCTGTCAAATTGACTGTGCAGTCTCCAAACAGTGCTTCAGAGTGAGAGAGAGCTCCAAAGGGATCTTGGTCTCTTGCTCGGTGACCCAGGTCACCCTCTAAGAGAAGATTTCTGAGCGAAGGAAACGAGAGCTAATGCAATCATGAGGTTGTGATGGTATGTTTGATAAGGTCGCAGAACATGTATATTTATGGAAATATAAGTTTTAGGATTTAGCTAAAATAGATCATATGGTAGGGAATTGTTTCTTAAAAAAATAGGTTTCATTTTCTTTTTAAATGGAAGTTATAAGCACTTTCTTATCCTAACATTTATATATTCTACATCTATGCATTTATACTATTCGTATTCCATATACTCCAAGTGTTTATTAAAATATATATTTTAAATATATATCTCAAAATGATTTCATGATTATTGGTTTTTAAATGCACTAATATTCATATTCACAATAATTTAAACAAATCTTTCTGAATGAATTTCATTATGATAATAACCATTTGTATAGCACTTTTTAACTGAAATAACGATAAAGCCCACAAACCATGTAAAAATGTCTTCCTGTTTTACATACACAATACACACACATATAAACACCTATATCTTAAATAGTTTATAATCTATTCAATAACAAAGACTATCTCCTATTTATTTTTCTATTTCTCTCCTACACTTCTGGATTATTTTATATGCCTACTCTGAATTCTGTACACCCAAAGGTTTACAGGTTAATGCTTAACTGACAATTGACTAATCTATAGTAATGCAACACCGAGATATAATTATCAGGTATTTTGTTCCTCTGCTTATTTGAATTCCTTGCCTCCCTCAAAAACAAAATCTAAGAGTTCCAAAAGGATAAAAGCTTTATAACTGAGATATAAATATATACAAGTGGATTTACTGGATCAATTTATTGTTTCACAAAACATTTACATCCTGCTGTTATTTTTCCTTGGGCACTATTTATCTAAGGTATTTCATCCTTAAGGCCTAATTTGAGATGAATCTTTCAAAAGATGTATAAAGAACTGAATTTCTAAAAAAAACATTCATTGTTAGCAGTATGATCAGTTACCTAGGTACAGGTTATGGTTTTGAATAGAATACAGGTCATTGGTTACAAATAATGAACACTAATTACCTTTTTGAATGGAAGAAGTCTCTAGATGTTGAAGTTTAAGGCCATTATCTAATCTCTGAGGTTTTGTATACAGAAATAAATAGCAAAGGACACAGACGCTGATGACAAATGCAAGTAAAACAAGGGCAGCAATTCCCAATCCAATCAGGGCACCAATGCTGAGGAAAACAGAAAAAGCATTATGACTATCACATAAGCTATACAGAAGTTTTAAATATCATTAGTTCTTGTTCGCAGTTTTTCATAACCAAGTTATATTTAGTATAAACAGTTTATGATTGAAATCTATACAGCTCAACTATTTCTACCATCAAATTCTTACTTAGCTTCTCTATACATTTATGCTAATATGAGTATAGAATATTATGTGAATTCATATTACAGGCAAAGGTCACATTATTCTCTAAGGATGAGTTCCAGAGATCTCAATGAAATAAGCTTCTGTTATAATGAAGGAAAGATCAGTTTTGCCAAGATGAATGGAAAAATAGCAACACAAATGTTTACCAGAAATGTAAAACTTTTCTTTTGGAGATGTGTATGTGAGATGTCATTTACTAATATACAAAATCACAATTACTGCAAAAGAGAAGAGAACTTGAACTGAAGGAAAACAATATTTATGAAATTTATGTAAAGTGCAAGTTCAACCTGAGTTTTTCCTTTCTGAAAGGCCACAGCATCAATGACTTCTACCATTAAGGCAGAAACTTTAAAAAATAAACTGTATGTCTGATTTTATGTGCTCTGCACTAATTTGTAACAATTCTTTTCTGATACAGCTGCCCATAAGGATAATTATTTGAGAAATAATACAGTTGTCAGTGAACTGAATACTTATAAATAGAAAGAGGAGTTTGGAAAAAGTCATTGTGAAATACTAATCTGCAAAGATATGGACTTGACTTTCTTGAGCCATATGCATGTTTACATGTGTAAACGTATATAATTAGATTTCAGGCTGCTCAAGAGAAGATATTTCTACTGATTTTCCCATAGTGTCATGCACAGTTAGGCTAGTGTTTAATAGAGTACTTAGCTGTAATGAATGTTCCATAAGTGGAAGTCAATAACAACTGAGAAGTGATTGATTCACTTGATGTAACTGCAAAGTAATCAGCATAGAAAAGTAATGGTCATTGGCATGATCATTAAAAAGTAATAATGTTTTTCATTACCTTTGTGGTTTGTCTTTATTTAGGCTTCTGATGTTTTCCCCAAATCAGGTCCCTGACCAATTCAATGTGTACCAAAAGGAAGGAAGGGGAGAATATAACCAGGGATGCTAGGTGCATTACCCTTTCATTGGGAGGAAGAAGAAAATTAAAAGTGAGGAGCTAAGATCACCCTACTTGTCCTTGATTTGAGAGACAAAGCACCCCTGAAATTTAAAGATTGCCTCCTGAACCACAGATGTGGCTCACAGTTCTACTTTACAAAATGTTGTTACATGCAGATTCTTGAGATTCTTGTGCTTGGCTTATTGATGTCAGCCCAGTCCCCCCAGCCCTGCACGCAAGTGAAGATTCAGTAATCTGGTAAGAGTCAGTATCTAGCTATTTATTTAAACAAGAGCTTGCCCATACTTGGTGCTCTCTCTTCTAAGGGATAGACTCCCTGACTTTGCCAACTCCTCTTTCATGCTTATTTGCACCAAAACTGACTTTTGTAGATTGCATGTGTCAGGGAGGGTTAGGTCAATACCCAAACACATGGGAATATAATTCACTTAATATTATCTGGCACATGGAGCAGAGAGGACAGGTATCTGGAAAGATTCTTGAAATAAGCCAATTTTTTAAATATTCAAAATAAAGTTGTAATTTAGTTAATTTAAAAATAAAATTATGCATTAATTAGATTCAACATTCATACTGTGGACTTTAAATGTGCACAATTAAATAACAGGAAATTTGGAAGGAAAAACAAAAACAGCCTACTATTTCTGCCTTCTGTTATAAAAGGACGTTTTCGTAATCTTGACAAATTGTTTCAGTATTCCAGTTCTACTTTATAGAAATGTTGCTTTAAATAGGCACAATTTTAGATATAAATTCTGAATAAAGATGGTGCTCTAAGAATCACCTAAAATACTTATCCATTTATTTGTAGCCTTGTGCAATAGGCATCATTCTCCTAAATCCTAAGGAAGATCACCTAAGAGGCTAGGGATTAAATGATGGACATGTAGCAGATGCAGAAAATAGAATTATCCTTTCTTCACAGCACCATATGGCAGTTTGCTTTTCAAACCCAGAGGAGGGTCTGAAGCTGCCATCACATTAGTGTTGCAATTCACCTATTAGCAACTTAACTTACCTGGGAGCTATACCTTTCTCCGGCAGCTGCAGCATCTCAGGACAAATGCTAGTGGTGTCTGAAATTTTTTTTTGCAGTTGGACTATTTTAAATTAGGGGTAGAGATAAAAATATGAGGGAAATGAAGCCCTAATATATATATATTATATATATATTATATATATATATATATATATTTTACCTCCCCCATTGTATTCTCAGAGATCTTTAAGTAACAAGACTCTAAGGTTTAACATGGTCAGCTGGGAGCACCAGTTGAAAAAATTTTTCCATTTCCCGAGAACCAAGTTGCATCTCGGCAGTGCCGAATGACGACCCTAACAAGTTGTTTGCTACTTTGTGCCCTCATTTATCTTAGGAAGGTTTCATAGCCTTATCACTTTGGAACTATCAGGGATCTGAGAATTCAGGCACATTTTCCAATTGAGTTTGACTTAAGAGTTGCAGGTCTCTGTTGGAGGTGCTGCCACCATTATTAACACATCCAGAGACTCAGAGCTGGGTTACTGTTATTTTCCAAATGGTCAGATCCTATTCCAGTGCAATACTTCCCCAAATGACAAGAATAGAATTTCTGACATTTTGCACTACTCTGGCACAACACAACTTTGTGCTTGAACTTGTTAATAGGAGGGGCACTCCTTTTGAGGTAATTTTGAAGCTTGTAATACATAAAAATTTATTTTATTGCTTCAAGAAATAACATTTAAAGGCATTTACTGTAGAAATGGTGTGTGTACCAGATTTTGGACTGTGCTAGGACACTGGCAAAAATAATTCTCGTCCTCTTATTAGCAGTCTCTCTTTTCCAGACATGAGCTAACTGATTTTTAAGATACACTGTAAGGTGTGGTGGGTATTTATTTCTATTACCTGTACCCCATTCATTCTCCAGTCCAAATGAAATAATCAAATTCAAAGTTTGCAATCCTTTAAGTGGAATAGGAAAACAGCACTTCTTTTTTTTTCTTTGTGGCTATATCTTTATTTTTTTAATTTTATTTTTATATTCCCCATACAATTGCAACCCCCTTATTTTGACCCCAATCTCTCCTCCCCACCCCCCGCCCCCCATAGTGTGTCTCTGGTTCATAGTTGTTTGTTGGTTTTGATTTTCACTTTCTTATGGTTATTCATTTTCCTGGTCCCTTATTTAAGTTTTCTAGATTCCTGCTATGAGTGAAACCATCCGGTATTTTTCTTTTTTCTTTCTGGCTTATTTCGGATGGAGCTGGAAGGGATCATGCTCCGGGAAGTAAGCCGGAAAACAGCACTTCTTAATGAAAATATCAGCATAAATAATAGTTAGAATAAACAAAACTCCCGTCATCCGAAGAGGAAGAAAGAAAGACTCCACCTCAGAAAGTCTCTTCACTTTTCACTGAGCAAATGGCCCAGGTGTGAGAAACGGGGTGTCCCAGGAAGGTTCTACCGAGTGTGTTATCACAGCAGCTAAAACCCTACCTCTCTGTGGGTCTACAGTTCGGTTCGAGGTTTCTGTCAGATCCTAGGAAAAGAGCAAATTACAAGTCCAATCGCTTGCGCGCGCGCTCACGAGCGCGAGTCCGCGGACACACATGTGCCTTTTTGATATTTTATAGAATACAGCCAACACCCTAAAGAGCCTTAAAAATACTCGGATCGTTGGTTAAAACCATCAAAGCAGTCCCAAAGGAACTCCTTTCTATGCAAATACAGCAACTAAATCAGAAAGATTAAAAACCTCCGGTTTAAATTATCTGCGTGTTTTCTCTCCCTGCCAGCAGAGCCACCTGCCTGAGACAGGTCCCTGGCGGCAGGGCCGGGCAGTGCCCTCGGGGGAGGCGGGTGGGGACCGGAGCGCGGCTGCTGGCGCGCGGCGGGTGCGCCTTGGGCGCAGAGTCCGCGCTACTCCGGCGCGCCTCGCCTGGGATCCGAGGCGGGATCCGCAGCTCTGGCTGCCACAGCCCAACCCTCGCCCGAGGGAGGGCGGCACCGACCGGGTCTGGTCCTCTGGGCAGCTGCGAACCCCGCGAGGTGTCTCCGCTGAGCGGTCACCCGCCCTCGGAGGCTCCGCGACCTTCCGGAGGCACGCGCCCTGGGCGGGTCGCGGGGAGGCGGGCGACCTCCGTCCACCCGGTGTGGCGCTGCCCGGTGCCTCCCCAGCCCTGGGCCCGCCAGCCCCCTGCCCTGCCCACCTGAGGCTCCACATGTAGCTGTGCTTGTAGGGGAAGTAGCTACCCGGCTCGCCGCAGCAGTACTTGAGGTCGGCGAAGCCGCAGCAGTAGCGGAGAGTGGCCCCCTCACCGCGCCGGGGGCACTGGAAGGGCTCCACGAAGCTGTGGTTGAGGCTGTAGTAGCCTGAGCACACGCGGCTGGCCTCGCTCATCGCGGCGGGCGGCGGGCAGGAGCGCGCCTTCCAACTGCACGCGCCCCGCAGTCGGCGCCCACGGAGCCCTCCGCCCAGCCGCGCTTCTTGCGATCTGGGGTCTGGCAGCTTGGGTGTTCAGCTTTAGCTGCCCCCCTCTGCCTTCTCTCCTCCCCCTGTCCACATGGCGTCTGGTCGCTTCACTCTCGCTTCTCTCTCTGACGACTGAGCGGTCCTTGTCTGCTGGTGTCTGGCCCTGACTTCTTGCGCTCCCTTGTCTGCTCTCTTCACTCTCTCCTGACACCCCCTCACTTTCCCACACTCCACCAACCGTCCCGGAGACTTAGTTGTTTTTCCCCACGCTTTGAGAAAAAGAGATTTCGCCTGAAGAAAATAGTAGAGGTGAGAACATGTTTGCAATCTGGACAGATGCAGCTGGAGTAGTTCTGACAGGGCAGGTGAATTCCAGGCCAACGGCGGGGCTGGGGTAGCTTTTACCTACTAGAGCCATTACCCCAGATCTGGGGTGGAGGGCAGCCTAGAAGACACTCAGCTACCAGCGGGGGTGGGTATTGAGAAGTACCCCTTCTTTGTGAATTACACCTGAACCAGTAAAATCTTTCAATTTAAAAATTGAAGACAAGTAACAAGATTTCCTCCAAAGACTAGCCATGCATTCAGTGTTCAGTTAAACGATCTGGGAAGGAAAGGCAAGAGAGTCAGATTAAGAACGTGGGAACTCTCAGGAGAGGCAGGCAAGAAGAGGAGGCAAATCAAGCAGAAAGGGACCTGCCATCAGCAGAAGCTTCCCTGTGCTCTTTTGTCTGGTATTCTCATTTGGGTGCTTCATTTGCTCACTGTAGATGCTCTTTGTAATAAGTCAAGCAATACTTCTAGCATGTAAAGAAGAAAATAATAGCCTCGGATGGGAGAGCAGAGACTAGAACATGAACAAAATTTCTGAGCTAGAGCGTCATTCCTTCCTCTTGCTGGTCGGCTTCCGTCCCTTGGCCAAACAGCTGATTAGATGCAGGAATCATGAATTTTAACTTGTGGGGTGCTGGACTTTTTTGTAATTTCTCTCTTCTGGGGATGCTATTCAGTGACTTGGAAACAGTTGGAGCTTTCAGGTGTACTTTTAAGCTTTGTTAGACTGGAGGATTAAAATTTCCCCATGACTCAGGCGATACCCTCTGAGTGCTCTATTGGCCACCTTGGAAATTAGGAGACTTGCCATTCGGAACTGCTGGAAACAAACCATTCCAGGCCTTGTGGGTTGATTGGTCTCCAGTAATTTCATTATAGGTGTATATACTATTATACACTGGTGATTGCTCTCTCTCTCTCTCTCTCTCTCTCTCTCTCTCTCTCTCTCTCTCTCTCTCCTTCTCTCTCTCCTTTCTTTTTTTTTTTTTTTTTTAAGATTTATTTATGTATGCATACAAGAGCTGGGGTACAGGCCAGAGGTGGATGGGGGGGAGTAAAAGGATTCACCAGAGACAGAGTGGGGAGCAGAACAGGCAGACTGACTGAAATACACTGCTGAGGGGAGCAGCGGGCGAGACAGGAGAGGTCTGCTGTGCCCTTTGGGCAGCTCCCTGGCCGGGGATCGAACTCATGCTGCAGTGGCTGCGGATGGCTTCATAGGTTGCATTTAACCCCTTGTGCCACTGGGATGGCCCTCCTCTCTCTCTCTCCTTTCTTCTCCTACTCTCTTCTCCCTCATACTCTGTCTTGCTACCTCCGGTTATCAGGGATTCCCTGAACTCCCAATTCTGTCTTCTGAACCTTAAGCAGACCCCTAGGCTCCCTGTTCTACAATCTGGAAATTCTCTTAGGCACTGAGCTGGGGTGATCATAACACTCACCTAGTCTGTTTTTCCTCCCTTGGGGATTACTGTCCTGTACCTGCTGGTATCTAGGGTCAAAACATATTGTTTCTATATTTTGTTTGTTTAGTTGTTTCAGGCAGGAGGATAAATCTGAGCCCTGTTAAGCCAATTTAGCTGTACTTGGCCAATGTGTTAGATCTAATCAAGTTGGACCAGTTAGAGTCTTTCCCCTGGAATTGGGCTTGTTCCATGTGAACAGGGATTCACAAGAACCTAGTGTAGAGGAAAGGAAAAAAATGAAGCAGAAGTGAGCAGAAAAAAAGGGAGGAAAGAATGTGGATGGCTTTGCAATTCTTGTTCAGTTCCTTTTCTGAGACCCATAACATTCTTACCATTGGAATTTTTGAGACATCCCAAATTTCTTTCTCTGGCTAAAATGTATTCAAGTTGGATTCTACTACTTGCAACCAAAGGGTTTTAACAGCACATCTTCAGATAAAAATTAGGGGACAAGGCAGTTGAAGGAGGAAACAACTCTTTTTCTAGCTGGAAACATGTAGGGTACAGAAGAGAAGAAAAAGGTTTCTGATGTGCCAGAAAGCCTTAAAAGAATGAATTTCTCTGAACATTTGTCATCAGGATCAGAGGCATGAGCCCCAAAGTACAAAAGCTGTTGCAGTTTCTTCACCTTCTCCAGATCTTCAGTGGCAGCTTTGTTAAGCTCAACATGGCTTCGGCTAACATGCTGAGAATGGAGGAACCATATATTGCAGGGGGTGCCCAACCCTTAAGTGAGAAATGAACTGATCTACAGGCATGATTATGTCAAAAATCTACAAGAAGTGAATGGCCCTAACACATAACACGCTGACTGCGCCATTCTCAGCAAATGTGGCATCATCTGCACAGAGAATCTGATTCATGAGATCCACATGATTAGAAAATGCTTCCAAGAGCAAGCTACTTCCACTGACCCTTCAAGTTACCTTCTCTGTGAGGTGGAATGAAGAAGAAAACCACCTGTATTGTAGAAGGTGGAGATACTAGCAGCAAGGAAGATCAGATCAACAGTCTTATTATAAGGAAGAACTAAAATGTCTATGATGATTGCTTTTGTAATCTGGCCAGTTAACTGCTTTGAAATTTTTTAAAAGGAAAGCTCTTTAATCAATGATGCCTATTCCCTTGAAAGGGGAATCAACAGGCAGCATGAATAAAATTTGCTTCCTGTTGTGAAGAGGGAAAGAAATATTGAGATGAAAAGTAGAAAGTTCTTCTGGAGAATGATATCAGTTGTCTCAAAATAGGAAAGTTTTCTACAGAGCATGAGACGACAAAATGGAATTTAAGTGCTTGATGAGGAAGGAAAAATTGAGAGTCACACTGTGGGTGACAGGTACAGTGAAATCAAAGGGTTGGGTGCATCACTGAGAGCCCAGAATGGTTAGAAATCATAATTTTCTGGTGAAACCAATCTATTGGATCACATGATTTCTCCAATAATGAATGTACAACAATCCAGGAACAGGGACAGGGAAATGAGGGGGAGGGTTTTTCAAGATGATTCTCTTTTACTGTGTTCTGGCCCACTACCACCTGCCCATCATAGCAGCATAGCCTCTTAGCCCTTTTCAACCCCAAATACACATAAAAACATGAAGAGAAATTCATGATCAGAACAGCTAGATTCTCCCAAGCTCGGAGTACCTTGAGACTTCAAGTTTGCTTGAAGCCTTTTTAAAACAGGAGACTTAGGGCAGTATCGAGACTGTGACTTTCTGGGCCTCACTGGTGGCCTAGGGGTTAAGTCTCCGTGCTACCACTGCAAAGGCCCACCACAATGGCCTGAGTTCAATCCCCGGCCAGGGAGCAAATCCATATATGGTGCAGCAGATCTCTCCTGTTTCGCCCACTGCTCCTCTTAGCAGTGTATTCAGTAGATCATCTGTTCTGCTCCCCACTCTGTATCTGGTGAATCCTCTCACCCCCTGCACCTCTGGCCTGTGCAAAAATAAATAAAATGAGATCCACATCTACGCAAAATGCGCAAAAATAAATAAAATCTTAAAAAAAAATAAAGACTGTGGCTTTCAACAATACCAGCTCAGAAAAGTCATATTGCTTGCTTGACTTTGTCTGTTGCCTAGTCCCATGTGACCCCATCCCCAGCTCACTGCCTCTAGGCAAGTTTCAACAAGGAGTGGCAACAAGGCTGGCTCAATACCAAATGACAGCCATAACTCACATCCATTATTTTCTTGTATCTCACTGTTTCTCAACAAGGAGGGTACCCATCTTTAGGGACTATCTTGGAAAGAAGAGAGTAGTTTTGGTTTTCATGATGACCAAATCACCTACTGGCAATGCGGGATACGGTCCAGGGATGTTACAAATCCTGAGACACGTACAGAAAAATGAAGAACTTCCTGTGACTTTCCAGTGTTGCACAGGACATTCATGGAAACAAGAAACCTGTTTGTAATTATCTGTGCCTAGAACTGTCCCTATGTTCCACATAAAAACAATGTATTTCTTGAATTTTCTAGGAAAGTAACTACTATGTAAATTGAGGGATGATTGTTCTTTGTTTTGTTTGGAAGTTTACCAAGACTTTTCCACTATTTCAGAAAATCATGTGCCAATGGTAATAGTGCTCAAGATTTTGTATGTGAGTTGCCAGTACCGCCAATCAGCTGTCAGCCTGCATTTGCACTGTCACTCCATGGTGATTATAGCTTTTGCATGCACAGTATTGGTGTAAACATTAGTTAAATGAATGAATATGCAGAAAACCAAAAGGAGTAAAATGACGTGTTGGCAATCGGGAGGTTAGAAGCAGAGAGGAAATTTACAAAGTGACCGTGGTGGGTGGGATGTTGATGAGCTCATGCAGCCAAAAGCGTTTCTAATCCCTGTCCCTAGAACTGTGCTATATTTGTCTGGACAAGTCTTCATGAAAAATAGCTATTCCTGGGTACCTGTGCATACCCATGATAGGGGCTGAAATCTTCCTTAATATATGCCACTTTAAAGCTATCACTTACCCTTTGAGAACAGGTAGAGCTAAGGTCATAGAATTCCAAGATCCCTCCACCACTTCTAAGCATGTTATGTCTATAATGGGTATTTGTTGCTGCCTCCCAGCATCCATTATTCCTTTTCTCCTTTCTAAGGTTACCACACATTTGT